ATATATGTATATATATTTTTTTTTTGCTTTTCTTTGTGTGTCCCGTTTTGTTTTTCAGAATGTTGCTATGTATTCCAGGCTGACCTTGAACTCACAAAGCCTCTTTCCCCAGCCTTCCAAGTGCTGGGATTACAGGCATGTGCCACTATGCCAGGCTGTCAAATGTATTTTTTTAATGCTATGTAACCTTTCCTCTTATACATGCTATACATTTCTAAACTATTTGCTATTAAACAAAAAACATTTCTGTATCTGTAATCTTCTTAGGATAAATGCCTAGAATTAGATACAAACATCTTTATGCTTTCTTATATAATCACACTGCTTTCCAGAAGTCATTGTACCAATTCATAATTCCATCAGCAACAGAAAGTTTACTTCACAGAACCAGGATGTGTTTTAAACTGTAAATGTTTTGCTTAGCATACACAAAGCACTAGGTTCCATTCCCGGAACCACAAAAAATAAAAATTTACACTGCTACAGAAAATTTCAAGGAGAGAAAGATAACGGGTACGGACGTAGCTTAGTGGTAAAGTGCTTGCCTAACATGTACTAAACCTTCAATTTAATCCCCAGCATCACAGGGTGTGGGAGCATTAAACTGTATTTCAAATTCACCTTGCTTTAACTCAGTTTCCCCACCAGCAGTATTACAACAAAATTAGACCAGACATCAGAAGGAATGACATTAACAAAATGAATTTAAGTGCCTGACATTTCTAACAATCACTAGGTACACATATAATATTCAATTATTCATGGATTAGTGAATAGCTACAGAGTACAGTGTACCTTAGTTCACAACCAAGTCATTCCATGATTCTGGAAAAGATGGCCATGGTCATGTTTGTCACCCAATGCAGAGTTCGTAAATAAAAACAAAATTTTGCCAAATGCTTCTTTGTGCAAACCAAACTATTCGCAAATGAAAGTGTTCATGAACCAGAGCAGCACTGTATTCTGACTTTTACTTCTCAATTCTCTTTATAGAACAATTCTCTTGAGACTCCAGCAGAAGGTAAATCAGAAAAACGTAATCCACATGAGTCAATTTTGATACTGACTGAGGCCTTAGCCAAAATCTACTCCAAAAAAATGCCCCACTGGCAGGTGGACGGGCACCCTGACCAGCATGCTCCCTTTCTCCATTAGTACTCTCTTCTCACAGGCCCTCTTTTCTTTTTTTTCTTTTTTGTGGTACCAGGGATCGAATTCAGGTCCTTGCGCTTGCGAGGCAGGCCACCGAACCGCTGAGCTAATCATAGGCCCTAATTCTGCATGTCCTGCCATTTGCTAAGAATCTCCAAGCCTCCAAACCTCTTCTCTTTCGGTCCACTCTCACTCCTTCCAGAAGGACTCTCAATTACTGAGGCCTGCATGTACCTCCTTTCACACACAGGGCTTATTAACCGAAACTTTTTCACAGGGTGCTCTAATATCCATCCTCACTCTTTACAACAGCAATCTTCACAGCACTGTGATCTTCCGTGCCTACAACCCTCCCCAGAATCAGGGAACACTGCGATTGAATAAACTACAGCTTCACAGAAAGCTTTATCAGAATTAATGTTTTGAAGTTTACGGATGGGACCTACAGGCTGCAAAAGACATAGCTAAATGTACCTGGAAATGTCTTGGCAAGAGAACTTCGCTTCCTTCAGATAAGGATAAATCTCCCCTACTGGAAATCTCCACGAAACTTCACTTATGCCTATGTCGGGCCATCATTTTCTACATGCTCTGCCAAGATACAACTTTTAGCTTATTTCGTCTACTCTAACAAGCCTGTGAAGGCCACGGATCTTACGATTTACCTCTGCAGCCCCGAGCAAACACAACAGTCAAGAACGCCTGGGGCCGGGGATAGATAGATAGATAGATAGATAGATAGATAGATAGATAGATATTGCTCAGTGGTTCCACCTCCTGGGCCTCGCATGCGCAAGGACACGAGTTGATCCCAGGTACAAAAAACAAACAAACAAACAAAAAACCCGAGGATGTGTGACAGTGGCCCCTTGCGGTTCCAGGATAGTCCTCTTTCCCGCGCTGATCTCCAACTCCTCTCCCGAAGGGCTGCGCGACCCCACCAGGACCCCCCTCGGCCTCCCAGGGCGACAGTGGAGCGCAACAGACGCCCGAACCGCCAGCAGGCGCAGGGAGGAGACGGCCGAGAGCCAGGCCTCAGCACGAAGCCCTGGGCGGCCGGGCGCGGGGGGCACACCTGCTCAGAGCTGGCTCCTCGTCGCTAGGCTCTTCCACCTCATAGGGGTCGTAGTCGTCCTGGAGCCGGCTCATGGCGTCCCAGAGCGGCGGACTCACACGTACTCACACACCTCGGCGTCTGTTTACTCTGTAGTTACCGCCCCTGACGCGGCCTCGATCCACTTCCGCTCATACTTCCGGTCCTTCCGCCGCGCCGG